TCTCGTACTTGTGATCCTCCTGCCTCATCCTCCTGAAGTGCTGGAATGACAAGCACAGACCACTACACCCGGCCAGGGCCTGTATTTTTCTCTCTTGCCTGGTTGCCCGATCCTTTGGAACCAGATGCTACCTCGGATTACAGACTTGACAGCTCCATCTCACATCTACGGCCATTTCAAATTTACTAGCGCCCAAACAGAAAGAAACGGCTCGATCATGCCCTTCCCTGTCCCAATCTTCCTCCCTGTCACCACAGAGCGTCACCTTCTACCCAACACTGTTCACACCAGACACATGGGAGTCATCCTACCTACATTCCTCGTCCCTGCACCCAGCCAACCCAACCGCAAGCCCTGTCCATTCTGCCTCCAAACGAACGTCCAACCTCTCTGCCGCCTGCTCCTCCGCACGCACCCTCTCCTGCTCCTCCTCAACCTGCTCCCATTGCCTCTTTCCTGTGCTCCCCAACTCCACACTTGGCCCCTCCGCTCTCCTCTACAGATGCAGTCTCCTTTAAACGTGAGCTAGAGGGCTGGAGCTATGTGGTAAGGCATGTGCCAAGTCCTGGGTTTGATCCCCAGTAGCGCTGTGAATGTGAGTTAGAGCCTGGCGCTTCGCGCTGCAAACTTCCAGCGGCTTCCCACTGTGCTGCAATGACGGCCAGGCCTGTCCGATGTCCACACTATGATTGTCCACACGCCCACTCACTGCTTAGTTTCCCCCAAAGCCAGGGCTGTGCGGCCTCGGCCTCCTCTCTCTGGTGCGCTCCGACTCCTCCCACCCCACTCCTAGGAAAGGCCCATCGCTCCTTGCGGCTTCATCAGGGTATTAATCACATTGTGCAACGCACCCTCCTGTCTGTGTCTGACTCTGGACTGTGTGGACCATGCATCGGGGGTCAGGCAGGACAGGGCAAGTCTTCATCATCCCCAGATTCCCAGCCCTTCACATGATGCTTGGCCAACAGGAGGTGCTCAAAAAGCTGCTGCCACTGTATGAATGAATAAACTAGAGATTCTCTTCTTTCCTTTTGTAATTAAACCAGTGCTCCTCATAGCATGAAAATTTGTTACCTCGCTCTACGACCCCACAATTATCACTGTCACTTTGGCACACGGGTTCTTTTTCTCTTCCTCCACTGTCAAAAAAAGTCTTTTTTTTTTTTTTAACTGCTGCTAAACCAACTGCATAATAGCTAAGCATATACCCCAACCCACTCCCATCTTATTGTCTTCGTGAGGAAAAAAAAAAAATCCAAAAATTACCCACTTCCTAAGTAAATCCAAATTACTATCAGCAGCTACTCTCTCTTATTTGCTTGTTTGTCTAAGACAGTGTCTCACTTTGTAGTTCAGCCTGGCTTTGAACTCACTATGTAGCCCCAAGCTGGCCTCGGACTCAAGGTGATCCTACTGCCTCGGCCTCCCGAGTAATGGGATTACAGGCATGCGCCACCATGCCCGGCAACGAGCAGCTACTGTGACAATTTAAAATTCCTAGAAAATATCACAGAGGCTTTTCATTGAGTATTTTCTTAAACCAGGAAGAAAAAAAATTTACTAAGAGAGTTGTATGAAGACCATCCTATTTATTAAAAATGGCACTGCATTGTTGTTGAAAAGCAAGCCAACAACCACAACCCAGCTGTTCTTGTCTCTTCTGTCTGCCTGTAAAAAAAATCAGCTATGTTTTAGCCTCTCCTTTAGTTCACTGGTTTCCTTCCAATATGCAAATCCAGAACTATCATTAATCCACAAAATCCCAGCAGATTCTAATCCCCTCCAAGCCACGTGGTCTTATAAGGTCAGAAATAAAATGAGCTGAATGCCACTGCTCTTGGAACAGAACAGTCAACTCGAGCCTACAGAGCCTAGGGCCTGAGTCACTAGTTTGGACCCTTACTTCCTATTATCCATGTCCAAAGTCAATAAAAATATCAAGCGCTTTCCCCCAAAATGCTCCTGGTAAAATACACAGTATCCCCAAAGTGAGAAATACAATATTGCTATTGAACTCCATCACAACCACTCAGCCAAACCCCAATTATCCACAGATGAATTCTCTGCAGAGAGTAGGTAAGGCCACATTGGGTTTTCTCGTTCTCCCCCTTACCTCCCCAAAGCTACCTGTGCCTGGAAATAACGGCTCAATTAACTTGAGACTTGACCAAGCATTAGACCAGTGAGCCAGCTGGCTGGGAAGGAAAACTTCTAAGATGAACTGAACTGATTTCTGGTGCCTGGGATCACACACACACACACACACACACACACACAAACACACACACAAACGCCCGTATAACTGGGAATTTTTTCCCCAAACAGTGAGTGGCACTTTCACCAGTAATTCCTGGTGTCTGACAGCCAAGGTTACCAGGCCCCTTAAGAGTCCCATTTGGAATGCAAAGGTACGAATCCTCTTTCTCCAGAAAAAGATAAAAACAGAAGTTAATCAACTCACCCAAGTCCATGAAGCAATTTGGCCGTTGGCCCAGGAAGACACCGTCAAGACCTCTGGGAGCTCACTTCGCAAGACACACAATTTCAGAGGGAAGGGAGCTCACAAGTCCAACCATGCATTTTTAAGATAAAAAAATCTGAAGCCTAGAAGTGGCTAGAAATTGGTACCCTTCCCACTTATCTTTTTAGCAACGGTTTCCCCTACCTTGAGTATCAAACTACCTTAAAAAGTCCTTGTCACTTTACAAATACTGTAGACTCCAGGCAACTCCTGCATGTAAGACAATTTAACAGCTTCTTTACTAATCAACTTTAAGGAGAATCCTTATACTTTCCCCAAAACCAGTGCTTCCGGTTACTAGGGCCAACCCAGCCATCCGAGGAGGCGGGAAAGAAAATTATAAATAAGCTTTGTTTTTGTGACCACACATTTCATTATATAAGCAGCAATGAGTCTGTCTACTCCTTACAGTTTAAGTTCCTAAATCAACAACAACAACAAAAAAACCACCAGCCCAAGCGAGTGAAGGGGCCAAAACTGAGCGCTTCCTACACAGTTCACAGAACAACTGTTTTCACAGGGAACTCACTTCAGTGCGATGTGATGCTGACACAAGCCCGCTATGTGGAAGCCTGCTTACCAAGCTGTGAAGACCCATGTTCACCATGGAACCTGCCGAATTCATCTTCGCAATGCTTCTAAAGCACGAGAGAATCACTCTCTCTGACACATCGAGCTGGCTCCTACACAACCCGCTGGCAGAGACGGACATGCCTACTAGGGTGGGGCTCCTGAGGGGTGTATCACGCCGGGGATCAATTCCTATAAATCAGATCCTGACAATCACAATATTTTAAACAGAATGAATTATGATTCATGGGCCTTCAAACCTTTATTACCACAAGAACATTCTCGGTAGATGAGGAGAAAAAAAAAAAAAAGCTACTGTGACTTGATTAATGACAGAAGCAAGACAATAAAATAAATCTCATAAATAGAAGGGGAAAAGCTGAGTGACGGCTCTTAGCTCCGAGGCTAGGCATGTAAATAATTCCACCCAGGGATAAACACACATAAAGATTCTGTTTGTCCTCCCAGCATATGTACCAAGGAGACTCTGACTTTCAACGGTTAAAAATAATAGCTAATTTGTTTAACTAACGCCTAGGTAGGAACATTTGATAAGTAGCAATAATATTTAATTCCCAGCTAACTCAACTCTCAAACTGCCAAATATCAACCCCTCAATCTGGAAATCTGATGACAGGAAAGAAAAAAAAAAAGAAAAGCACTGTCAATGAGGAATGAGTAGTTTTTTTTAACCCATTTTTCTCCCTTACAGAACTGGGGAAAGCTTAACCAACTCTGGTTAACCCTACTGTCTGGGGCTTACTCCCTGACCCTATCCAGGCTGGACCTCCTGGTGCTAAAATTATCCTGGCAAAGTTAAACTCCCAACACCATCAAGTCACCCTGACAGCCAAGACCTACAACCCTTCTGCAGAAACCAGTAGGCTGAAGGCCAAGAAATCAGAGGCCAGAGGAGAGGCGAAGGCTGCTGGTTAACTGGTTAAGTGCGGACTGAGCACGCTCCTTAGTTATCCTTCCAGTGGACAGCAAAGCCACACTCTCCCTCAACAAAACCCTTTCTTGAAGGCGGAAGATGCAGAAGGTTGGTGCCAACGGGAACAATTAAATACCCTCCTCTTAAAGCTCGTCCCCAGGGCCTGCTTGGGTCAACCGGGGAGCAGTCATTCCTAAACCTGAACCACTCCCAAGACAGCCCAGGCCACGCTGTTAGCACGGGCTTCAATGGGCTCCCTTGCCAAGCAGCGACTCGTTTGGGGCAGTTTCCACGAAGCTGGCTCCAACAGGCCGGCGGAAGGTACACAGAGGAACCAGAGGGTTTTTTGAACCCAAGGATGGCAGGCACACATGCTCCAGCCCAGAGCTGGCCAGAGGCTGCCGGCCAGGTGCTCTCCACCTCCCGGGTGAATGGGTGGTTTTGTTTTGTTTGCAAAATCTATTTCTCCAGACCACCAGCGGGAACTTCCCAGTCTCCCAAAGTGAAGTTGGGGAGTGAATGGGGCAAGTTTGTCCCCTTCTGCATTCTCCCACCCGGCTGGCCACACTAACTTCTGGGGAGCGCCCAGCCCCCACAGAGCCTGCAGGAATATACACATGTACACATGCATCATGTCAAAAACCCCCAAAGGCACATCCCCAGGGTCCTGCGGTTTCTTGGCTGGAAGAATGAAGGCTTTATAACGTCCCCGTCTTCCAGGGCACCCTTGCAGGCGCGGTGGCCAATTGCAGCGCCCACCTCCCCCTCCCCCTTGGCTGTGATGCTCCGCAGCCCCAAGAGGGAACCTGAAGAAGGAAAGCGGGAGAAGGCCCTGCTCACACCCAGAAAGTAAAAGGGGTGGCGGAAGACTTGTCTTGCCCGGTTCCCCCACTCTTCCCTCTTCACCCTGTTTTCTCCCAGAGCATCCCCTCAACTATTTTTTTTTAAATGAATCATAATAAGCTTCTCGCCTACCTTGGCTGCTTCTGCAACAAGTGCATGGCAAAACGACAGGAAGCCCAGTCTCTGCTCGGGGGGTGCGACGGGGGGTCGGTGGGGCTGATGGAGTAATTTCAATATTAATTTATGTCAGCCGCCTTCTGGCACAGCTACTCACTCCCAGTACTGCCCTCAGCCTGTAAACAAATATCGCTCCGCCAGGAAACATACTCCCCAGATGCAAGCCCCTCTCCCCAGCAGGGAACCCGGCCCCTCGCACCCTACCCCACCCCCAACAGCGTGCTCCCCCTCTCCCAGTGGGAAGCGCAGGGTTTGCAAAGCACCCACCCACCACCTCCGCCACCACCCCTGCAAGAAACTTACTCGGCCCGTCTACGCCTCCACCCTCCCTCCAGGAAATCTCTCCATATGCATTCAGCCTCCCCGCAGGAAATCTGCTCCCCCTCCCCCTTCTATATGCATGCACCCCTCCCTCTGCTGCTCCCCACACGCCCTCCCCCGCCAGAAACTTACGAGCGAGCTAGCGTGCAGGCTCTCCAGATCCTGGAAACTTACTCCCAGCTATAGCGCCCGCCAGCCCCCGTTCCCGGCCCGGCTCCCCTCCTGCCCTCCGCCGCCAGCAACTCTAAACTCTCCGCATCCACCACTCTCCCTCCCGGGCGCACATTCGCAGCGCCT